TTAGTGCGTTGATCCGAACTGTCGAATTCTTGCCATAGACACAAAGCAACCGAGAAAAACAGTTGGGAGAGCCATTAGTGCGTTGATCCGAACTGTCGAATTCTTGGTATAGACACAGAGAAAAAAGGTTGGGAGAACCATTAGTGCGTTGATCCGAACTGTCGAATTCTTGGCATAGACACAAAGCAACCGAGAAAAACGGTTGGGATAACCATTAGTGCGTTGATCCGAACTGTCGAATTCTTGGTATAGACACAAAGCAACCGAGAAAAACGGTTGGGAGAACCATTAGTGCGTTGACCCGAACTGTCGAATTATTGGTACATACACAACGCAACCGAGAAAAACGGTTGGGAGAACAATTAGTGCGTTGATCCGAACTGTCGAATTCTTGGTATAGACAAAAAGCAACCAAGACAAACGGTTGGGAGAACCATTAGTGAGTTGATCCGGACTGTCGAATTCTTGGCATAGACACAATGCAACCAAGACAAACAGTTGGGAGAACCATTGGTGCGTTGAACCGAACTGTCGAATTCTTGGTATAGACAAAAGCAACCAAGACAAACGGTTGGGAGAAGCATTAGTGCGTTGATCCGAACTGTCGAACTCTTGGTATAGACACAAAACAACCGAGAAAAACGGTTGGGAGAACCATGAGTGCGTTGATCCGAACTGTCTATTTCTTGGTATAGACACAAAGCAACCGAGAAAAACGGTTGGGAGAACCATTAGTGAGTTGATCCGAACTGTCGAATTCTTGGCATAGACACAAAGCAACCGAGACAAACAGTTGGGAGAACCATTAGTGCGTTGATCCGAACTGTCAAATTCTTGGTATAGACACAAAGCAACCAAGACAAACGGTTGGGAGAAGCATTAGTACGTTGATCCGAACTGTCGAACTCTTGGTATAGACACAAAGCAACCGAGACAAGCGGTTGGGAGAACCATTAGTGCGTTGATCCGAACTGTCGAATTCTTGGTATAGACACAAAGCAACCGAGAAAAACGGTTGGGAGAACCATTAGTGCGTTGGTCCGAACAGTCGAATTCTTGGCATAGACACAAAGCAACCGAGACAAACGGTTGGGAGAACCATTAGTGCGTTGATCCGAACTGTCGAATTCTTGGTATAGACACAAAACAACAGAGAAAAACGGTTGGGAGAACCATTAGTGCGTTGATCCGAACTGTCGAATTCAGGGTATAGACAAAAAGCAAACGAGAAAAACGGTTGGGAGAACCATTAGTGCGTTGATCCGAACTGTCGAATTCAGGGTATAGACACAAGGCGACCGAGAAAAACGGTTGAGAGAACCATTAGTGCGTTGATCCGAACTGTCGAATTCTTGGTATAGACACAAAGCAACCGAGAAAAACGGTTGGGAGAACCATTAGTGCGTTGATACGAACTGTCGAATTCTTGGTATAGACACAAAGCAAACGAGAAAAACGGTTGGGAGAACCATTAGTGCGTTGATCCGAACTGTCGAATTCTTGGTATAGACAAAAAGCAACCGAGAAAAACGGTTGGGAAAACGATTAGTGCGTTGATCCGAACTGTCGGATTCTTGGCATAGACACAAAGCAACAGAGAAAAACGGTTGGGAGGACCATTAGTGCGTTGATCCGAACTGTCGAATTCTTGGTATATACACTAAGCAACCGAGAAAAACGGTTGGAAGAACCATTAGTGCGTTGACCCGAACTGTCGAATTATTGGTATATACAAAACGCAACCGAGAAAAACGGTTGGGAGAACCAGTAGTACGTTGATCCGAACTGTCGAATTCTTGGTATACACACAAAGCAACCGAGAAAAACGGTTGGGAGAACCATTAGAGCATTGATCCGAACTGTCGAATAATTGGTATAGACACAAAACAACCGTAAAAAACGGTTGGGAGAACAATTAGTGCGTTGATACGAACTGTCGAATTCTTGGTATAGACACAAAGCAAACGAGAAAAACAGTTGGGAGAACCATTAGTGCGTTGATCCGAACTGTCGAATTCTTGGCATAGACACAAACCAACCGAGACAAACAGTTGGGAGAACAATTAGTGCGTTCATCTGAACTGTCGAATTCTTGGTATAAACAAAAAGCAACCAAGACAAACGGTTGGGAGAAACATTAGTGCGTTGATCCGAACTGTCGAACTCTTGGTATAGACACAAAACAACCGAGAAAAACGGTTGGGAGAACCATTAGTGCGTTGATCCGAATTGTCTATTTCTTGGTATAGACACAAAGCAACCGAGAAAAACGGTTGGGAGAACCATTAGTGAGTTGATCCGAACTGTCGAATTCTTGGCATAGACACAAAGCAACCGAGACAAACAGTTGGGAGAACCATTAGTGCGTTAATCCGAACTGTCGAATTATTGGTATTGACACAAAGCAACCGAGAAAAACGTTTGGGAGTACCATTAGTGCGTTGATCCGAACTGTCGAATTCTTGGCATAGACACAAAGAAACCGAGAAAAACGGTTGAGATAACCATTAGTGCATTGATCCGAACTGTCGAACTCTTGGTATAGACACAAAGCAACCGAGACAAGCGGTTGGGAGAACCATTAGTGCGTTGATCCGAACTGTAGAACTCTTGGTATAGACACAAAACAACCGAGAAAAACGGTTGGGAGAACCATTAGTGCGTTGATCCGAATTGTCTATTTCTTGGTATAGACACAAATCAACCGAGAAAAACGGTTGGGAGAACCATTAGTGAGTTGATCCTAACTGTCGAATTCTTGGCATAGACACAAAGCAACCGAGACAAACAAATGGGAGAACCATTAGTGCGTTGATCCAAACTGTCAAATTCTTGGTATAGACACAAAGCAACCAAGACAAACAGTTGGGAGAAGCCAACGTTGATCCGAAGAACTCTTGGGACACAAAGCAACCGAGACATTGGGAGAACGAATTAGTGAGTTGATCCGAACTGTCCGAATTCTTGGTATGACACAAAGCAAACTGAGAGAAAAACGGTTGGGAGAACCATTAGTGCGTTGATCCGAACTGTCGAATTCTTGGCATAGACACAAAGCAACCGAGAAAAACGGTTGGGAGAACCATTAGTGCGTTGATCCGAACTGTCGAATTCTTGGTATAGACACAAAGCAACAGAGAAAAACGGTTGGGAGAACCATTAGTGCGTTGATCCGAACTGTCGAATTCTTGGTATAGACAAAAAGCAACCGAGAAAAACGTTTGGGAGAACCATTAGTGCGTTGATCCAAACTGTCGAATTCTTGGCATAGACACAAGGCGACCGAGAAAAACGGTTGGAGAACCATTAGTGCGTTGATCAGAACTGTCGAATTCTTGGTATAGACACAAAGCAACCGAGAAAAACGGTTGGGAGAACCATTAGTGCGTTGATTCGAACAGTCGAATTCTTGGTATAGACACAAAACAACCGAGAAAAACGGTTGGGAGAACCATTAGTGCGTTGATCCGAACTGTCGAATTCAGGGTATAGGCAAAAAGCAAACGAGAAAAACGGTTGGAAGAACCATTAGTGCGTTCATCCGAACTGTCGAATTCTTGGTATAGACACAAAGCAACCGAGAAAAACGATTGGGAGAACCATTAGTGCGTTCATCCGAACTGTCGAATTCTTGTTATAGACACAAAGCAAACGAGAAAAACGGTTGGCAGAACCATTAGTGCGTTGATCCGAACTGTCAAATTCTTGGTATAGACACAAAGCAACCGAGAAAAACGTTTGGGAGAACCATTAGAGCGTTGATCCGAACTGTCGAATAATTGGTATAGACACAAAACAACCGTAAAAAACGGTTGGGAGAACCATTAGTGCGTTGATACGAACTGTCGAATTCTTGGTATAGACAAAAGCAACCAAAAGAAAACGGTTGGGAGAACCATTAGTGCGTTGATCCGAACTGTTTATAGACACAAAGCAACCGAGAAAAACGGTTGGGAGAACCATTAGTGCGTTGATCCGAACTGTCGAATTCTTGGTATAGACAAAAAGCAACCGAGAAAAACGGTTGGGAGAACCAGTGCGTTGATCCGAACTGTCGAATTCTTGTCATAGAAACAAAGCAACCGAGAAAACAGTTGGGAGAACCATTAGTGCGTTGATCCGAACTGTCGAATTCTTGGTATAGGCAACCGAGAAAAACGGTTAGAACATTAAAAGTCGAATTCTTGGTATAGACACAAAAAAAGAACCATTAGTGCGTTTCCGGGAGAACCATTAGTGCGTTGATCCGAACGTTGGAGACAAAAAGCAACCGAGAAAAACGGTTGGGAGAACCATTTCGTTTCCGAACTGTCGAATTTGACACCAAAGCAACCGAGAAAAACGGTTGGGAGAACCATTAGTGCGTTGATCCGAACTGTCGAATTCTTGGTATAGACACAAAGCAACCGAGAAAAACGGTTGGGAGAACCATTAGTGATCCGAACTGTCGTTGATAGACAAACAAAAGCAACCGAGAAAAACGGTTGGGAGAACTGTTGATCCGAAATTCTTGGTATAGACACAAAAGCAACCGAGACAAACAGTTGGGAGAACCATTAGTGCGTTGATCCGAACTGTCGAATTCTTGGTATAGACACAAAGCAACCAAGACAAACGGTTGGGAGAAGCATTAGTGCGTTGATCCGAACTGTCGAACTCTTGGTATAGACACAAAGCAACGGAGAAAAACGGTTGGGAGAACCATTAGTACATTGATCCGAACTGTCGAATTCTTGGCATAGACACAAAGCAACCGAGACAAGCGTTTGGGAGAACCATTAGTGCGTTGATCCGATCTGTCGAATTCTTGGTATAGACAAAAAGCAACCGAGAAAAACGGTTGGGAGGACCATTAGTGCGTTGATCCGAACTGTCGAATTATTGGTATAGACACAAAGCAACCGAGAAAAACGGTTGGGAGAACCATTAGTGCGTTGATCCGAACTGTCGAATTCTTGGTATAGACACAAAGCAACCGAGAAAAACGGTTGGGAGAACCATTAGTGCGTTGATCCGAACTGTCGAATTCTTGGTATAGACACAAAGCAACCGAGAAAAACGGTTGGGAGAACCATTAGTGCGTTGATCCGAACTGTCGAATTCTTGGCATAGACCCAAAGCAACCGAGAAAAACGGTTGGGAGAACCATTAGTGCGTTGATCCGAACTGTCGAATTCTTGGTATAGACACAAAGCGAGAAAAACCGTGCGTTGATCCGAAACAGTTGGGAGAAAAACCATTAGAACCGTGCGTTGATCCGAACTGTCGAATTCTTGGTACAGACACAAAGCAACCGAGACAAACGGTTGGGAGAAGCAATAGTGCGTTGATCCGAACTGTCGAACTCTTGCTATAGACACAGAGCAACCGAGAAAAACGGTTAGGAGAACCATTAGTGCATTGATCCGAAGGGTCGAATTCTTGGTATAGACACAAAGCAACCGAGAAAAACGGTTGGGAGAACCATTAGTGCGTTGATCCGAACTGTCAAATTCTTGGTATAGACACAAACAAACGAGAAAAACGGTTGGGAGAACCATTAGTGCGAGAAATCGGTTGGGAGAACTGTCGTATGGGAGAACCAGTGCGTTGATCCGAACTGTCGAATTCTTGGTATAGACACAAAGCAACCGAGAAAAACGGTTGGGAGAACCATTAGTGCGTTGATCCGAACTGTCGAATTCTTGGTATAGACAAAAGCAACCGAGAAAAACGTTTGGGAGAACCATTAGTGCGTTGATCCGAACTGTCGAATTCTTTGTATACACACAAAGCAACCGAGAAAAACGGTTGGGAGAACCATTAGTGCGTTGATCCGAACTGTCGAATTTTTGGCATAGACACAAAGCAACCGAGACAAACGGTTGGGAGAACCATTAGTGCGTTGATCCGAACTGTCGAATTCTTGGTATAGACACAAAGCAACCGAGAAAAACGGTTGGGAGAACCATTAGTGCGTTGATCCGAACTGTCGAATTCTTGGTATAGACACAAAGCAACTTTTGGAGAAAAACGGTTGGGAGAACCATTAGTGCGTTGATCCGAACGGTTGGGCAAGAGAAAAACGGGAGAACCATTAGTGCGTTGATCCGAACTGTCGAATTCTTGGTATAGACAAAAAGCAACCGAGAAAAACGGTTGGGAGAACCATTAGTGCGTTGATCCGAACTGTCGAATTCTTGGTATAGACACAAAACAAACGAGACAAGCGTTTGGGAGAACCATTAGTGCGTTGATCCGAACTGTCGAATTCTTGGTATAGACACAAAGCAACCGAGAAAAACGGTTGGGAGAACCATTAGTGCGTTGATCCGAACTGTCGGTTGGGAGCAAACCGAGAAAAACGGTTGGGAGAACCATTATTGCGTTGATCCGAACAAGAAAAACGGTTGGGAGAATTATTGATATAGACACAGAACAACCGAGAAAAACGGCTGGGAGAACCATTAGTGCGTTGATCCGAACTCTCGAATTCTTGGTATAGGCAAAAAGCAAACGAGAAAAACGGTTGGGAGAACCATTAATGCGTTGATCCGAACTGTCGAATTCGTCGTATAGAAACAAGGCAACCGAGCAAAACGGTTGGGAAAACCATTAGTGCGTTGATCCGAACTATCGAATTCTTGGCATAGACACAAAGCAACCGAGAAAAACGGTTGGGAGGACCATTAGTGCGTTGATCCGAACTGTCGAATTCTTGTTATATACACTAAGCAACCGAGAAAAACGGTTGGGAGAACCATTAGTGCGTTGATCCGAACTGTCGAATTATTGGTATATACAAAACGCAACCGAGAAAAACAGTTGGGAGAACCAGTAGTGCGTTGATCCGAACTGTCGAATTCTTGGTATAGACACAAAGCAACCGAGAAAAAACGGTTGGGAGTACCAGTAGTGCGTTGATCCGAAGTGACGAATTATTGGTATATACAAAACGCAACCGACAAAAACGGTTGGGAGAACCAGTAGTGCGTTGATCCGAACTGTCGAATTCTTGGTATACCCACAAAGCAAACCGAGAAAAACGGTTGGGAGTACCATTAGTGCGTTGATCCGAACTGTCAATTTCTTGGTATAGACACAAAGCAACCGAGAAAAACGGTTGGGAGAACCATTGAGAGCGTTAATCCGAACTGTCGCAATATTGGTAGAAACACAAAGCAACCGAGAAAAACGGTTGGGAGAACCATTAGTGCGTTGATCCGAACTGTCGAATTCTTGGCATAGACACAAAGCAACCGAGAGAAACATTTGGGAGAACCATTAGTGCGTTGATCCGATCTGTCGAATTCTTTGTATAGACACAAAGCAACACAGAAAAACAGTTGGGAGAACCATTAGTGCGTTGATCCGAACTGTCGAATTTTTGGTATAGACACAAAGCAACCGAGAAAAACGGTTGGGAGAACCATTAGTGCGTTGATCTGAACTGTCGAATTCTTGGTATAGACTCAAAGCAACCGAGAAAAATTGTTGGGAGAACCATTAGTGAGTTGATCCGAACTGTCGAATTCTTTGGTATAGACACAAAGCAACCGAGAAAAACGTTTGGGAGAACCATTAGTGCGTTGATCCGAACTGTCGAATTCTTTTATAGACACTCAAAGCAACCGAGAAAAACGGTTGGGAGAACCATTAGTGCTTTGATCATAACTGACGAATTCTTGGCATAAACACAAAGCAACCGAGACAAACAGTTGGTGAACCATTAGTGCGTTGATCCGAACTGTCGAATTCTTGGTATAGACACAAAGCAACCAAGACAAACGGTTGGGAGAAGGATTAGTGCGTTGATCCGAACTGTCGAACTCTTGGTATAGACAAAAAAGCAACCGAGAAAAACGTTTGGGAGAACCATTAGTGCATTGATCCGAACTGTCGAATTCTTGGCATAGACACAAAACAAACGAGACAAACGTTTGGGAGAACCATTAGTGCGTTGATCCGAACTGTCGAATTCTTGGTATAGACAAAAATCAACCGAGAAAAACGGTTGGGAGAACCATTAGTGCGTTGATCCGAACTGTCGAATTCTTCGTATAGACACAAACCAACCGAGAAAAACAGTTGGGAGAACCATTAGTGCGTTGATCCGAACACTCGAATTATTGATATAGACACAGAACAACCGAGAAAAACGGCTGGGAGAACCATTAGTGCGTTGATCCGAACTGTCGAATTCTTGGTATAGACAAAAAGCAAACGAGAAAACGGTTGGGAGAACCATTAATGCGTTGATCCCAACTGTCGAATTCTTCGTATAGAAAAAAGGCAACCGAGAAAAAACGGTTGGGAGAACCATTAGTGCGTTGATCCGAACTATCGAATTCTTGGCATAGACAAAAAGCAACCGAGAAAAACGGTTGGGATGACCATTAGTGCGTTGATCCGAACTGTCGAATTCTTGGTATATACACTAAGCAACCGAGAAAAACGGTTGGAGAACCATTAGTGCGTTGATCCGAACTGTCGAATTATTGGTATATACAAAACGCAACCGAGAAAAACAGTTGGGAGAACCAGTAGTGCGTTGATCCGAACTGTCGAATTCTTTGTATACACACAAAGCAACCGAGAAAACGGTTGGGAGTACCATTAGTGCGTTGACCCTAAGTGTCGAATTATTGGTATATACAAAACGCAACCGAGAAAACCGGTTGGGAGAACCAGTAGTGCGTTGATCTGAACTGTCGAATTCTTGGCATAGACACAAAGCAACCGGAGAAAAACGGTTGGGAGAACCATTAGAGCGTTGATCCGAACTGTCGCAATATTGGTAAAGACACAAAGCAACCGAGAAAAACGGTTGGGAGAACCATTAGTGCGTTGATCCGAACTGTCGAATTCTTGGCATAGACACAAAGCAACCGAGAAAAACAGTTGGGGGAGAACCATTAGTGCGTTGATCCGATCTGTCGAATTCTTTGTATAGACAAAAAGCAACCCAGAAAAACAGTTGGGGAGAACCATTAGTGCGTTGATCCGAACTGTCGAATTTTTGGTATAGACAGAAAGCAACCGAGAAAAAAACGGTTGGGAGAACCATTAGTGCGTTGATCCGAACTGTCGAATTCTTGGTATAGACACAAAGCAATCGAAAAAAACGGTTGGGAGAATCATTATTGCATTGATCCGAACTGTCGAATTCTTGGTATAGACACAAAGCAACCGAGAAAAACGTTTGGGAGAACCATTAGTGCGTTGATCCGAACTGTCGAATTCTTTGTTTACACACAAAGCAACCGAGAAAAACGGTTGGGAGAACCATTAGTGCGTTGATCCGAACTGTCGAATTCTTGGCATAGACACAAAGCAACCTGAGAATAACGGTTGGGAGTACCATTAGTGCGTTGATCTGAACTGTCGAATTATTGGTATAGACACAAAGCAACCGAGAAAAACGGTTGGGAGAACCATTAGAGCGTTGATCCGAACTGTTGAATTATTGGTATAGACACAAAACCACCGAGAAAAACGGTTGGGAGAACCATTAGTGCGTTGATCCGAACTGTCGAATTCTTGGTATAGACACAAAGCAAACGAGAAAAACGGTTGGGAGAACCATTAGTGCGTTGATCCGAAGTGACGAATTATTGGTATATACAAAACGCAACCGAGAAAAACGGTTGGGAGAACCAGTAGTGCGTTGATCCGAACTGTCGAATTCTTGGTATACACACAAAGCAACCGAGAAAAACGGTTGGGAGTACCATTAGTGCGTTGATCCGAACTGTCAATTTCTTGGTATAGACACAAAGCAACCGAGAAAAACGGTTGGGAGAACCATTAGAGCGTTAATCCGAACTGTCGCAATATTGGTAGAGACACAAAGCAACCGAGAAAAACGGTTGGGAGAACCATTATTGCGTTGATCCGAACTGTCGAATTCTTGGCATAGACACAAAGCAACCGAGAGAAACAGTTGGGAGAACCATTAGTGCGTTGATCCGAACTGTCGAATTTTTGGTATAGACACAAAGCAACCGAGAAAAACGGTTGGGAGAACCATTAGTGCGTTGATCCGAACTGTCGAATTCTTGGTATAGACTCAAAGCAACCGAGAAAAATTGTTGGGAGAACCATTAGTGAGTTGATCCGAACTGTCGAATTCTTGGTATAGACACAAAGCAACCGAGAAAAACGTTTGGGAGTACCATTAGTGCGTTGATCCGAACTGTGGAATTCTTTGTAGACACTCGAAGCAACCGAGAAAAACGGTTGGGAGAACCATTAGTGCTTTGATCCGAACTGACGAATTCTTGGCATAAACACAAAGCAACCGAGACAAACAGTTGGTGAACCATTAGTGCGTTGATCCGAACTGTCGAATTCTTGGTATAGACACAAAGCAACCAAGACAAACGGTTGGGAGAACCATTAGTGCGTTGATCCGAACTGTCAAATTCTTGGTATAGACACAAAGCAACGGAGACACACAGTTGGGAGAACCATTAGTGCGTTGATCCGAACTGTCGAATTCTTGGCATAGACACAAGCAACCGAGAAAACGGTTGGAAGAATCATTAGTGCATTGATCCGAACTGTCGAATTCTTGGTTTAGACAGAAAGCAATCGAGAAAAACGTTTGGGAGTAACATTAGTGCGTTGATCCGAACTGTGGAATTCTTTGTAGACACTCAAAGCAACCGAGAAAAACGGTTGGGAGAACCATTAGTGCTGTGATCCGAACTGACGAATTCTTGGCATAAACACAAAGCAACCGAGACAA